AACTCCCAGAATTCCCCAGCCAGCATTCGCTGGCTGGGGAATTCTGGGAGTTGAAGTCCAGACATCTTCAAGTGCCCAAGGTTGAGAAACACTGATCTAGACTACCAAAAAAAAATTTGATTGAATGGATGATTTTAAAAACAGCTTTGAAAACATGAAACTAAAATCAGAATAAAAAAAATATAAACAATAAGGTATCTACAGTAGTGAAAAATCTGTTTAGTGTTTCTTATCAAAAATGTTCTCTCCTTAACGAAGAATTCAGGCAAAAGTAGTCACATAAATAGCAAATCTCAACAAATTAGTCCAGATTAACATGGAACCTTTGCATTTCACACTGAAGCTCAATATCCCAATCAAAGCCTAACAAGCCAACCACATCAATATTTTATTAGTGATCTTTGTGTTACACATTTACGCAACTTCAGCAGTATCTCTTTACATAGCAGTAGTGCATACATAAACTTTGCATTATCTGTCTGGAAACTTAACAAAATAAAGATGCATCCTTCCTAGCTATTACTGTACAGGAATTATAAAGACTCATAGCAAGGTATTAAACAAAACAAGGGATAAAACAAAATCAAAAGCAGCTGCCGGGCTCATAGCCTTAAGCAGATGTCCTTTTCTTAACCATCGACTTTAAACCAAAAACAGAAGTGACATGACTGGTCTCTACTGCTGTACTAGTATAATAGTTTTCTTTAAAAAAAATATCCAAGTTCTTTTTAAAATACGCAGAATTATCAATCAAAAGCTAGTTATCATATTTGTAACAGAACCTTCAAAATTATGCAAGTTTTCAAAACAGAAGTTTTGAAATATAAATTGTGTTTCATTCAAAACAATAATTTATATATGTATCTCTCATCCACAGTTTAGGAATGCACATCAGACACAGCCTTACTGCCAAGTCAAATGCAAAGCAAAGTACTGCAGTTGATGTTACTTACCCTGATAAATGATAAGGCAATTCTTAGGCAAATCTTGTCGGGTAACACAACCTGCATCAGCCCCTAAGAGATACAGCACTTTAGGAGGGTTCTTCCTGATAGCATCTACTCCTGGTTTGTAACCAAGGTCAAGAGCAGCTACTTGGCTTGCCACTCTGTAGAGGAAGAGACGATTGTTTCAGCCGACATTCTCAGACTTTTTTTTTTGGTTAGTTGCGAAGTCATGTCCCTAAACCCTTTGATAAACCTTAAACCCCTTAACACTTGACCATAAGGTGTGCATATTTTTGAACAATTTCCTATTTTGCAGAACCATGTCTTCCTGAAAAGAATAAAGCTTCCTATATCTGGTTTGTTTTACTATGTGTGGTAAAAAGCATTTTGGAAAAGGAGTTATGAGTTATGAGTTATGAAAGTTTATTTATATGCTGCCCTTTTCNACGATGAACGGTTGCAGGAACTGGGCATGGCTGGTCTAGGGAAGAGAAGGATCAGGGGAGACATGATAGAAAACTTCCAATATTTGAGGAGCTTCCACAGAGAGGAGGGGGTCAAGCTATTTTCCAAAGCATTTGAAAGCCAGACAAGGAATAATGGATGAAAACTGAACAAGGAGAGATTAAAGCTAGAAATAAGGAGGAATTTTCTGACAGTGAGAGCAATCAACCAATGGAACAGAAGTTGCCTTCAGAAGTTGTGGGAGCTTCATCATTGGAAGTTTTCAAGAAGAGGCTGGACTGCCATCTGTCAGAAATGGCATAGGGTCTCCTGCTTGGGTGGGGGATTTGACTAGAAGACCTACGTTACAAGGCCTTTTCCAACTCTGTTAATCTGTATCTAATCAACCAAGTTCAAAGAGCACCAAGGACCCTGGAGATACTTTTGATCTATGTTCAAAGCCCTCATCGCTGGGTTGAGCTCCTTCAAGTTGTTGCCAGTTCAGCAAGGAAGTGTAAGATGTCCTTAATACAAGAAAGAGCACACTTAAGGCTAGTGATTGTTATATCGAAATAGCTGGGAGCTGAGAAAGTGAATGAAGCTCAAAACAATGTTAGCTTTGCTCCCCCCCCCAAAAAGACTTCTTAAAAGCAAAGAATTTGATGAGAGTGTTATTTTTATTGACTGGCAGTTTATCTTAATGTGCCTATCATTCCACTGAACAAATCCCCATCCCTAGTATTTTCTATATATGAAATTGAAGTTGCAATCGTACTTTATATATGATAGATAGTATATTATCTGTAACAACCACAGAAAAAAATGGAAAAGCCATTGAAACGGCAAAGCTGCTCTTGATTAATTGCTTTTCTATTCACTAGACTAATCTTTTAATCCATTAAAAGTACTAGGTTTTCCTTTCGGTCTTGCTGTTTAGTGCATTTTTTTTTTGCCATTTGGTTACATGCAAGCTTGCAGATCCAGGATGTGGAATGAAAACAGACCTGTTATTGCATTTTGCTGTCAGCTGTTCTGAGCAATTTTGGGAATAAAAACACACGTTTTACAGAAAAAAAAAGAACAAAAAGCGTTCAATGTGGGGAGAAGCAGTTATAAGAGCATCAGTTGAAGCTTATGTGGTATCCTTAAAAAATAACCTTCTTTAATTAACCTTCCTATGAGGTAGAGAAAAGATGAAAACAAAAATATTAACACAATTATCCTCAAGTAAAGAATAGTTTTTCAATTAGTTGTGAAAAATTAGAAATAGTACATTTAGAAAAATTAGAAAGTGATTCAAACAGGCAACAGCCGTTGACAATACAATTTCCAGCAAGTTAAATGTAATAAGTATGTGAGGGAATTTGAGGAGAGAGAAATTTAAGAAATGAAAGCCAATATTAAGGATTTATTCTAAAATAAATGAATTAGAAAGTACTAAAGATAACCGGAGCCATTAGAGAAGCAAATGGAGAATGAAAAGGCTTAAGGAGAGCGAAAATATAGCTGGGGAAAATTAATTATTTAGAACACAGAACAGTGATGGCTAACCTTTTTGTCTTCGTGTGTGGAAAGTGCAGGCATGCACGCAACAGCGTTCACATGAGACTACATCCATAATGCAATGCATGCATGACACCCCCTGCATGCCCTGCCCTCCTGCACATGTGCATGCGATACCCCGCAGCTCATTTTGGGCCTAGCAGGCCTCCCTGAAGCCTCCTAGGACAAAAAATGGGGCATGGGGGGGGG